CTGTGTGTTTAATCAAGTAACATGACCAAGCAGGCATCTCCTCCAGGCCTGAAGGTGACACAAACCTAGTCACATGAGCTTTTTCCACTCAGCTGCAGAGACACAGCCTGTGGCAGGGCTCCAGCCCCACCAAGTGTGATCTACACCATGGAGATGGGGTGTCAGTTGTCTTTAAGAACTGGTTTCTGGTTTTTCCGATTCTTTTCTGCTTCCTGTCCTTTGAGCATGTGGTCTTGTTCATGTCATGGTGACCCAGACAAGAGCCTGCACAAAGTTACAATTCTGTGCTCAGAGGCAGGAGTGACTTCCAGCACTCCCCTTCATGTTAGGGGTTTAATGCAGTGGGGCCCTTCTTGAAGGGATGTAGAAGATAACAGAATGCTACACAGACTCCTTGAACCCAGTAACCCATGTTTTTCTCTCAAATGCAGGCAGGGCTCAGGCTCTGTTTTGTACAAGGCAGGGGGTGAGCAGTTCCTGCTTTTAGAAGCTCACTGGCTCAGAGTACAAGTCAGACACCAACTGCCATGACCTTGGAAAGTCACAGAGCAGAAAGGGGCTGGAGAAGGGCAGGGCTCAGGCTGAGGGGCAGGGGTACCTCAGCCTCACTCAGCAAGGTCAGACAGGGCTGCTCTTAGAGTCAGACACTTGTCAGCAACAGCTGGGAATGTTCACCACCACAGCATGGTTTTGAAACTCTGCCTTTCCCAAAACACATCACAGTCTACTGCTGCATGTTACATCAAACCCCTCGTGTCCAAGTCTTTTTTAGCACCATCACAGGTCAGGAAAACACATTTATGACATGCAATGTACCTAGTGCAGAGATAGAGATAGTCCTGCTGGTCCAGTTCAAACAGCATGTACACACCTCTATAAAAATCACCTGAATTTAAAAGATTAGAAATCCTAAACGGCAGTTCAGTTCCTAAAAAACCAAGGCCTGGCTTTGGCCCTGCTCAGACCACGGTGTGATGACAGGCTGTGGATGGTTTCTGGAGGTGATCCTGCCAGCCCCTGCTGCTGTCAGTAGGAGTCCACGTGCCTCATGATGAGCTTGCGGCTGTACTCGTAGGCCAGGAACAGCGCCCCGTTGGCCACGAACGCACGGATCATGGTGGGCTTCAGCCCAGAGTACAGGGCCAGCACCCCTGGAAGGGAAACCACAGCCAGTCAGCCACTCATCAGCTTGCCCACCTCCATCTGCCACCACCTTCTCCCCTTTGAAGGCTACTGGAGTTACAGCTCTGCTTAGAGAGGCAGGCAGGGAGCTGACCACCCTTGTCGCTGGGCATTGAGGCAAGAGGAGTCTCCAGTGAGAGCTTGGCCATGGCAGTGTTTATGTTAGAAGCTTATCTGAGGTGTGGCAGGGTCTCCAGAAGGCTGCCTTGGTCACCTGAGGACAGTGGTCACAGCAGCTGTATCCCAGCTGCTAAGGGGACAGAAAGAACAGCAGGACTCCTGGAACTGTGCACAGCAGACTCCTGCTCTGATGAGTATCTTCTCTAGCAGCAGGGCCAGGGTTCCTGTCTGCTGCAACACACATTCCCCAAGCTGCCAGCACTGATTTACCCAACAGCCTTCAGTCAGTCCTGTTATGTTCACTACAGATTTTTATTTTTTTTTTCTCTAGAAGTTAACTGGTTCCTTTATTTTCACATAGAGGTTTGGTCATGGGTAAGAGAGCTCATTCCTTTATCTGCTTTTAACACATACTGAGCTCTTGTTCACAGAATTACAAAACAGCAGGGGTCAGAAGGGTCCTCTGGAGATCACCTAGTCCAACCCACCTGCCAAGGCAGTTTCACCTAGGGCAGGTTACACAGAAATGCATCCAGGTGGGTTTTGAATGTCTCCAGAGAAGGAGACTCCACAGCCTCTCTGGGCAGCCTGCTCCAGTGCTCCAACACCCTCACTGTAAAGAGGGTTTTCCTCATGTCCAGACAGAACATCCTGTGTTCCAGTCTGTGCCCACTGCCTCTCATCCTATTGCTGGGCACCACTGAAGAGAAACCCATCCTCTTGACACCCACCCTTGAGGTATTTATAAGCTTTGGTAAGATCTCCTCTCAGCCTTTTCTCCAGGCTAAACAGCCCCATATCTCTCAGACTTTCCTCATAAGAGAGATGTTCCAGTCCTTTCATCATCCTCACAGCACTCTATGGGACTCTCTCCAGTAGTTCCCAGTCTCCCTTGCACTGGGGAGCCCAGAACTGGACAGAGTACTCCAGATGTGGCCTCACCAGGGCAGAGGACAGGGGGACAGGGCAGGGTAAAGGGGGAGGACAATCTCCCTCAACCTGCTGGCCACACTCTTCTTAATGCACCCCAGGATACCTTCTGCCTTCTTGGCCACAAGGGCACATTGCTGGCTCCTGGTGAACTTGTCCACCAGGACTCCAAGGTCCTTCTCTGTGGGGCTGCTTCCCAGTGAAGCTTTCAGTGAATTGTCTCCTGCACCAAGAAGCATGGCAGATGCAGGAGGTCTCAGTTTTTAGATTCCAAGCTTTCCAGACTGGATGAAGCATCCATACTGCAGTTTGTTAGAAGCAGTTACTGTCTCTAACACACTCCAAGTGGATTGGATTTCTTAGGCAATGTTTTGTTCTGGAGGGTACAGATTTCCCCCTCCAGCCCTACAGCTTCAGCTGAAGTGTGTCACACTCACCTTCCGTTCTCACCACAGTTACAAACGTTCCCATAAAGCCTGTCTGTTTTCCAGCCATGGAAAGAACCTGAATTCTAGACTTGACACAGTCCACAGGATACACAGCAATCCACAGACAGCTGCCTCCAAAACCTCCGCTGAGCAGCAAAGGAATGGGACCTAAAGTCAAGAAACAAGCTTTGACACACCTCATAAAATATCCATCAATATCACATTATTCCATCTACACAAGTCAAAGAGAACCCAGGGGAACCTGCTTTTGACAGAAGAGCAGTTTATGCTCCCCCACAAAACTTTGAGTTAATTTTAAGCCACTGGTAAGTTGCAAGTCTAGCCAGAAGCTCAAAGGTTACAAGGACCACCTCCTGGATTATTTGCCATGCTAAAAAGGTGTAACCTGGAATTCCATTTTGACCATATTAACTAAATTAACTCAACTCCTTTCACACTTGTCACCACTTCCAAAGGCTAGCTGAGAAATGGTTTAGAGTAACATCACACCTAGACAAAGATTTCTTTTCTCATGTCTGCTTTTCAGTCTTAGTGTCCTCTCCCCACTGCTGTAAAGACCATCCAAGGGTCAGCATACATTGCAGCACAGGCTGTTCAGAGGGAATGCAGCTGAAGACTTCAAAATCACTCTGAACAGCTGCTGAAATGAAGTAGTTCAGTGTTGTGTCACACTGCAGGGTCAGGTATTTAACTAATTTTGTAGAATTACTCTTAGTTCACTGAATTTAATCTCCATTTATAATGCCTTTTGCTCCACTGGAGTAATTCATTACTATATAAATATAAAATGAAAACCTTCCTATCTTTTTTTATCCAGTTTCCTTCATTTTACTTCTGTTTCACAATAGCATATCTTCAGGAAAGATAAGCCCTCCTCCCCTTATGTCCCCCACCACAGCATGCTAAAAACCACCTGGAGAAAGAGGCACCATACCCAGTTCATCTTTTGGTCTCCCAGAAGCAAAGAAGGTGCGGCTCAGTTCATACCCTCCGAAGAAGAAGAAATAGCCTGGGACCTCCCGCAGCAGAGTGCTCGACAGGCCACGGTAAAATCCAAGGGGACCATCCTTTTGAATCACACCCTTCACTACTGACCAAACTGTGCTGAGGGAGAGGGGGACCCAGTTAGTGCTGTCACAGCCAGACGATGAGAAGGGGACAGAACAGGCGGCTTCAGTGACAGTGAGGGGTTAGACTCATTGCGCAGACAACGCAGTTCAAGTTTCAGCAGAGAAAATGCATGAGGAGAGTTTGGGAGGTCCTGGCAGGGTGGATACTTACTTGTGCCCGTGGGTTATCTTCCCTGACAGCTGCATTTCATGCATGGCCTGCAGGCGGCACTTCACCAGCTCGGTGGGGCACAGCACCAGGGTGGCAAAGGCGGAGGCGAAGGAGCCGGCGGCAGCGTTCTGTAGGTCACTGCAAGAGAGGGACTGCACCAGCTACTGAGGCAACCACCTTCCCTGCACTGCAGCCACTGCTCCTGGGCTCCAAACAGCCTCAAAAGCACCACAGAGTCTTGGGGAAGAGATGAGAAAACTAGCTCATTCCACCTTCATGTACCACTCAAACACATCCTTTTGGCACCCACAGATGCACTGCAAGCTTTACCCTTCTACTGTAGGGACTGCAGTAAACACTCAGATCTCCCCCTTCTTGCCTTTTATACAGATTTCCATAGAGAAGGGCCATGAGCATGATTCAAGGGCTGGAGCAGCTCTGCTGTGAGGACAGACTGAGAGAGTTGGGGCTGTTCAGGCTGGAGAAGAGAAGGCTCCCAGGGGACCTTATTGTGGCCTTCCAGTATCTTAGGGGGGCTACAAGAAAGCTGGGGAGGGACTTTTTAGGCTATCGAGTAACAACAGGACTAGGGGGAATGGGGCAAAGCTGGAAGTGGGCAGATTCAGGCTGGATGTGAGGAAGAAGTTCTTCCCCAGGAGAGTGGGGAGACCCTGGGATGGGTTGCCCAGGGAGGGGGTTGAGGCCCCATCCCTGGGGGTCTTTAAGGCCAGGCTGGAGGAGGCTCTGGGCAGCCTGATCTAGTGGGAGGTGTCCCTGCTCATGGCAGAGGGGTTGGAACTGGGGGATCCTTGGGGTCCCTTCCAACCCTGACAGATTCTGATCTGTTTTAGCAGAGGACTTTAGAGCCCTAATGGCTCAATGGTTGGACTTGATGATCTTGGAGGTCCCTTCCAACCTAAAGGATTCTATGATTCTAAGAGAACAGGAGCAATTACCACCTCAGGTTGCTGCCAGTGTTTTCATATTCACCTCACCAGTATCAATGCAGGTTTTCAGTGGAAGGTGCTAGAAGTCTAGCAAGGCACAATGGACCACTATATATGTATCTACACACACACAGTGAACCACTCTACAGCACCTCTGTAGTGGTGTGTATATATGTTATACACACACACACACACCACTGCAGATGTGCTGCCATGAACACAACCATGTGAATCAGAGATAGCTCAGAACAAGTGGAGCTTCTCTCTTTCAGAGCCTGGGGAGTCAGTGCAGCTGAGACTTGCCTCACTGCTCCCCACAAGTTCTTTCCATACAAGGGAGATGCCTGCCCTATGCCCAGCAGTTTTTATACCTCTGTAGTATCAGAGATTAAAGCTACACCTTTTCACCTTACAGCAGCATCATGGAACTGAAGTCTTGATGTGACACAAAGTTTATGACATCCTCAGATATGGCAGTGATGAAAACTGTCAGAGTGGAGGCAATCAGTAACTGCCTGAAGAGCAGCAACTGAACAATATGCAGTAAAAAAAGAAGTGGGAGCCCTGACTGCACAACCCTCCTGCAGCACACAGAGCTTGGGGTAGCAGGGACCTCAAATGCAACCCACTAAAGCTTGAGACAGAGCAAAGCAGAGTGAAAAACAGAGTATGTGGCTGAGCCCTGCAGTCTTTGAGCTATGAGGCAGAGCAAGGCAGATACACATTGAAGAATAAGGTTACACATGGAGGAATTAGGGTAAGAAAATACAAAAGTGGTGACTTCTAACTATGCCCTAAAGGGTGCACAAGATCCTTTCTCCTTCAGAAGAAGAAAAAAACAGATGCTATCAGACAAAAAGAACTCTGAAACATGTACATAAAGGACTAGATTTAGTCCAGCTCTCACCTGTTGATGTTTAATTCTACAGGCAAAAATTCAGGCAGACCTGCTGTTTAGGCTTTGGTCTTGAATATAGTGAACCCTGTTGCAGAAGCAGTAAGCCCTGAATCCTGTTCAAGTTTCCTCTCAGCCAAATGCCTAATTCAGCATTTTTTCCTCAGGGGGGAGAGTTTTGGTCACACATCACAGAAGCAAGAATCTTCTTACATTGGCTGCTACTTTCTTCTATAAATGGCATTTATCTTGTTTTTTTCAAAAGAAAATAACCTGCTGAAGATGACTAGTCACGTACTGAGAGAGTCAAACTGAGGTGAGCAAGGATAATACTTCTCTGAGTTTAGACTTTGGCATGGAATGAGATCAGTTTGGCTGAACTAAATGGATGTTAAAAGATAAACAGAATTTAGCATTTCTCTCTCCATTTGTTTTCTCTGTGACTCATGCATGGGTGGCATGTATTCCTTTAACTGCAAAACATATTCCTTTAACTGGAAAATGTATTCTTTTAACTGGAAAATGTATTCTTTTAACTGGAACAAGTGCTGGTTTGTAACTGTTCTGCCAGGCTTCACCCAGAGCAGGGTTTCCCTAAACACAGGCTGGCTAGGCAAGCTTATCTCCAGGCCATTTAAAGGTGTGACCAAAAAGGTAACTTAAAGCAAACTCAAACTATTATAGCTGGTTTTAAGCAATCTCAAACAATATAGAATAATGAAAAAGTGAGAAGCAGTTGTTTAAATCTGGGTAAGACAAGCAGTCAGGTTCACCCATTTGTGACTTGATGCATTTTCTTCTCCAGGTGAAGACAGTATGACAATTTTTGCTTAGCAGAGGCAATGAAGGTCATTACAGTTCTTTGGTTGTCCTGTCTGGAGGTTAGCCAGCTCACCAGGGTTTCTTCCCTGCCCTACAGCACACTATGAAGGCTTCTTCACTCTTCCACAGCAGGAGTGGGTGGAGATATCCCAGACAGACCACGTCAATAAAACTCTCTCATACATGCACCTCCTAAGATGCCCCCACAATGACCCAGATGAAGAGACTGAGGGAACAGCACCAAGAGAGGAAGGTTTCATTTCAACTTATGTCCTTTAGTGTTCTGTCCTAGCACAGCCCTGCAGTCACACTATGTGCTCTTCACTCAACAATGCATTAAACAGCCACCCTTGACCTGAAAAGGACCATTACCTGACCAAGGAAAGAAGGGTCAGCAGCACCTGCTACTGCTGCACACTCAGATGACACTCCCATTCCCTGTGGTACTCCAAAGACAGGGAGCAGTACACCCCTGGCTACTGAGTGAAAGTTTCCTGCACTGCCTCCTCTCTACATACAGCACAAACATGAGATGCTCCCAGGACCTCTGCAAGTCTGTGCTCTACCCCCTAGGAGGATCACAGGGTGATTAAGTAGCAAAGTATGCTGTTGGGAGGCCCACCTCCTACATCTCAGTGGGTATGGAAAGATAAGGGATCTGTAAGCTGAGCAAGCAGAAACCCCCTGATCTGAGAAAGCAATAAAGGTGGAAATGGTTCTGTCTCCTCTGATAGGACTCAGCTGCCAGAAGACAGTGAAAAAGAATGCAAGTAGAGAGCAGTTAATGGAATTTCTTTCTTCATCACTTCAGATTCCCTCACAGTAGGCCTCAGTCTTAAGATACAGCAGATCTTAACATGTGGCAGGAGAAAAACCTCACCTAATGCCACTTTGAGATGCTTGTTTTGCACTTGGGTATCCAGCCATGTCATGGCAGAGACCTCAAATGCAGAACCATGCCCTCCCCAGCTACTCCCACCTGGAGACAAGATGTGACAGAGGCAGAAGAGAACTCTTACTGAAAAGCTGAGTGTGGATAACCTTGCATCACTCTGAAGGAATGGAGTTAGGACAAGGTGAGAAGTCTTTTACACACTGTGGGGCAGCACAAGGAGAGAGCAAAGTGCAGCCACTCTCAGTGCAGCACAGGAGACATACCTGGAGAAATGTGCTACAGTAAGACACTGACTGCTGGGCCACTGGCAGCTCTAAGTGATGCACCTGGAGAAAAGGTGTCCTAGCTAGAAGAGATGATGAGCATTATGCCAGTGCATAAATCCATGACTTGTTCACACCCTGAACACTCTGCCTGGTCTCCAATTAAAACCCCAGACACGTTAGAATTACAAGAGTTTCAGAGAAAGACAGTGAGCACAGCTAAAGGAACAGCTTCAGAGTGTGGGCTGACTAGGAGGGCTGGGATCCTTCCACCTAGGAAAAGACTCATGTGGGCAAGAGGGGCATGGAGCAATGGATACAATGGATAGAGCTCTACAAAATCCCAGGTAACATGGAAACAGTGGCCAAGGACCAACTGCCTCTTCCAGTTACAGAGTTAATGACTGTGATGGGCAGACCTCCCTGCCAAAGTGTCCTGCAGATGTAAGGAACTTACAAGAACTTGAGAGGAGAGTGGACAAGTGCTTCAAAAGACATCCAAAGGCTGGATCACAGCAGAATCAAGAAGTCCTCTGAACTAAGAATGCAGCCTGGCAGAGGACTCAGTACATATTAAACACTTCCTCCTCTTTCTCATTCTCAGGCAACCACTTATTGTCAGTGCTGTAGACAACACACTGCAAAATGAGACCTTTGGTCTCATCACCATCACATTCACACTTTTTAAACTTAAATACATTTTTAAAAGGCAATACTGAAGTGTCCTTTCCCCTTAGTATGCCTCCCTCTAAGAAGAGCCACTACCTCCCCTGCAAAATCAGAACATGGAAAGATCAAGGGAAATCTTTCAGATGTTGCAATGCTCAGTCTCTTTGGTAAAACTGCTCCAGGTCTTGAACACTCCAGTTAAGTGGTGGTTAACTAAACCAGCCTGCTGCAGTGACAAAGTGGATGGCTCTTTTAGACACCATTTCCTAGCACAAAGGTCTGTACTGCCAAACTCACCACAGTGCACAGAAGCAGGGAGGGGACCTGGGGCATCCGCTGCACCCTAACAATACAATATTTGCCAGCAGCAGTTGCCCATCTTTTCATTTCTTTATTGTAAGACACAAAACAGATTTGTACTGCCAACCTGAGCTTGGTTTTCCTGTCCACTCCAACAATTCTCCTGACAATCTGCTGGCAGAAGCCATAGCACATGAAGAGGACGGAGTTCTCGGCGATGTTGGCGACGAGGGCCGGCGTGGTCCCCTTGTAGAAGCCTCGGAACCCCACCTGCTTGTAGGTTTTCACAAAGCAGTCCACAACTCCTTTATACATGTCAGGGAACGTCTGCATCTTCACCTTGGCGGTGTCGAAGGGCTGGCCAGTCACCACACATGCTGTCCCACCTAGGCAAGCAGTGGAAGGGAGAGCGTGGCTGAGGGTTATCACAAGTGAAACACCCAGACACGAACAGCACCACTAGAGACAACAAAATCACACAGAAGGCAAGTATGACTTAATTCTCTGCAGGAGAAGACAACAGCACCATGGCATCAATTGTCAGGGATGAATTTAGCTACCTGAAGAAGAAAAAAGATAAACTGATCCAGCCTAAGAGCAGTAACAACTTGATTCTCATGAAATATTACCTTACTAAAAGAAAGCATCTAAATGGATCCATTCACTTACATAAATGGAAAATGAATTAGAGGTTTTGTTCTGCAATCAAGTAACTTGTGTGCACGAGTCAAGCAACCTTTCCCCTTGCTCACTAATGCAGTGGTTCAGAAGCTGTCTGATTTTACATTCCAACAATAACCAAAAAAGGGGAACATGTGTAATTAAGTGAGACAGATTCCTGCAGGACAATTACAAATGTTGCCCTTTTTTGGTTAAGTGAGACAGATTCCTGCAGGACAAGAGGAACACTGCTATGACAGTGCTGAAACTGATGATGCATTATAAATTCATCACAGAAGATTCAAGCTCTTTACTTCAAAACTTCAGATGATTCTTATTTACATTTAATCCCACCTACTGGAAGAAGGCATCGAGGATAAGCTGAAAAAGGGCAAAAGGGCAAAGTTTCTCAACGTGTTATCTTCTCCAAACTCAACTGCAAGGTCAATACCCCGAAAACTTGTGAGGTATTTCCATCCATGTCATCAATAACCACTTTGCCCATGGTGCAGTGTGCTTCCACAAGACCTAACTCAATTCAGGAGCCTGCAGAGAGAGCCAACATTACACTTCTTCAGTAAGAAATACCAGTGTACACAGACAGGACTCCATTAGAGGCCAGAAGCATGTGGTAGGTGCACCTTACACAGGCTTTACAGGTTTGCCTTTTTAGCAAGGGAGAAGAACCATCCTAAACCAGAAGCTGATCTTTAACCAAAGCACACTGTGCAGGTTAAGGTGTTTTTTCAGCTCTGAAAGGGAAATTGCTACCTGTAACACTGAGAGAAAATGAAATGTAAAGAACCTGAGAAGAAAGTTCTGAATGTAAAGAAACTGCAATAGAAACAACTGTGTGAATCCAATTAAGATTAGTTATTTTTCTTCTAAGTGGGGAGAAGAAGAGTAAGCAAGTATTTGTTTAACCAGGGTTATTTGAAACCACTTTTACTCTTTGCAAACACATTTGTCTGATGTTGTTTTTGCTCCTCTGCCAAGGGGTACTTCAGGCCTTTAAGTACACTGCCACTGGAGGTGGCACAAGAAGCCCACTAAACTATTGCAACTAACTTTGTAAGCCTCAAGGTCAAGACCAAGAGCCCCTAAAATATTAGAGAAAAAAAATTATTCTTCCAGCCAGCAGTAAAGAGTCTAAAAAAACAACAAAACCAAAACCAACCAGAACAACAAAAAAGGTCAATGCCCCTTCAACATTTAGCCAAATGTGGTCCTAGTAATAACAGGAATGGTGAGGAAAAAAGGTTCTGCTTAATCAAGGAACTGATTAGAGGTTGCTCAGATCCTAGGCAAAGGACTATGACCCACAAGCTGCTAAGTGACTTATTCTAGTTCAGAATTTACTTGCCCCCACGTGTCATTACTTATCAGCTAGTCAAGGCTGTATGTGAGGAAGGTAAAACCAGGTTATGCATTTGCTGGAGGAACCAGCTGTTCACCTCCTCAAACACACCCTACACAGGGTGCAGAGATGTGTGCTGCACAGAAACCAGCACTACCCACGAGCAAAGAGAGTATGTGGGAAGAAAATGGTAAATAAATACTAGAGGAACAGTAAAACAGTGACTTAGGATTACTGAAGTCATGTTGAAAAAAAGGTCTGAATTCCTTCCTCTTATCTGAAGGAAGGAGAACTGTACCAGAGAGGAAAACAGAACAATTAGTTCCAAGATCCCCTAAGCTCTACTGGCAAAACCCAAGCAAACTTCAAGTGCGTGGCCTGTTAGCCTGGATGTGGTCATGGAACACATCACCAGGCAATGGATTTCTAAGCTAATGGGAGTTTCCAGCTCTTGTGGTAGCCAAGATTAGACACAACAAGGCTTCAACTCAGAAAGACAACTTCCTAAGCCAGGCAGCTCCCCTGCCCTGCATGTTAACAGCAGCACTCCTGAGGTGAAGTACCAGGTGCCACACTCAGCTCATGTTATTGTCACCCCTTGCTTTCTCAGAGCACAAAGGTTAACTCCACTCTCACAAATGTCCTCAAATAACTGTCCTTGAATGCACTGAATGCCATTAATACTGTCATATTCACAGCACTAACACTGTCATAAAAGGACTGGCTGTAACAGCTATTGCATGGGAAAGAAACAACATGGAATTATTTAAAGTGGCTACAACAGTGCATGAGACAAATCTTTCCTTCCACCTTTTCTGTATGAATGTTTTCAGCTTATAAATGTCAAGAAGACCCCGTTTCTCTGGCAGAGTTAAAACCAGCCTCATCCCTCAGCCATGGGCCTTGCCAACATGGTAACATCAGCAAGACAATGCAACTCTTTCCACATTTGTGACTGTCACAACTGGCCCAGCAAACCAGACTGGACCAGAAGCTGGTTAAGTAAATTCATCACCTGTCCCACTGCTGAGCTTCCAAGCAGAAGCTGGTTAAGTAAACTCATCACCTGTCCCACTGCTGAGCTTCCCAGCTTTTAAAGGTTCACACTGGGATGCTGTCTGTGCCAACAACCCTTCAGACAGCCTCCTGCCTGTGTCAATCAGAGGGTTCCTGGGACAAAAGCAGCACCTCTATCACTCACACACTGTCTGAGCTCCTTCCAAGGCTTTCCTTGTGACTGATTCTTAAATTCACGAAAGCATGAGAACGAAGAGTGAAACTTAAAACCTCCTTCTGGAAAATTATGAGTCTGAAATCAGGGTTACACCTTCTCTGTCTGGCAGGGGTTTCACCAGGGAGAAGCCATAGTTACCACACTGGCTGAGGTCAGTTGCTTCTCCTTCAAACCCCCACAATAAAACAGGCGTTTTTGAGCTCCTTCCAAGGCTTTCCTTGTGACTGATTCTTAAACTCACGTAAGCATGAGAACGAACAGTGAAACTTAAAACCTGAAATCAGGGTTACACCTTCTCTGTCTGGCAGGGGTTTCACCAGGGAGAAGCCATAGTTACCACACTGGCTGAGGTCAGTTGCTTCTCCTTCAAACCCCCAAAATACAGAAGGCTTTTTGTAGCAACAGGAAATCGCTTTTACGTTTCTCAAAGGTACTAAAACTGTCCCTCAGAAGTTCTGAGCAATTAAATTCTCTCCAGCATTACCTGCAGCTCCTGCTGTGAGGTCAATAGCAGCCTGAATAGCAGAGTTGATTTTCATGCTTCACACTTGTTTATCAGTTACTTCAGACTGAAGTCCCCTGTTACCTGACGGGTGTCAGATCCTGGTCTCCTGAGGGGAACAGAAAGATGAAGCATACACAGTTTACAACAGTAACTGACAGGCAAAAGCATCACACAAAGGCTTTAACTTCCACTCTTCCATTTACCTTGTTCTAAACCATTTAGAGGCAGAAAAATATTGTCCCCAGGACTGAGATGTAGCACATTTGGCTTTTGATTGACTAGTTTTGCCACATTAGGCAAGTCCTCTGGAGTATCACTGCCTACCTCCAAATTACTTGGGCTTTCCAGCTTCTGGTCTCCCTGGATCTCTCAAATGAAAGCAAAAGGTATATCCAGGGAACAGTGTTGAGCATTTCCTTTCTACTGATTTCAGAAGCATAGTTTCCATCAGGTGTCTAAGGCTAGCTGGCAGGAATATTCCCCCTCTGACTCAGCTCTCCACCTATAAAGCTAAACAGAATTCTCTCCTCATGGTGAACAGCACCTAAGAAAAGTGTATTCATGATGATACAGGCACCTCAGGCACTTCTGTGTGGCTCTCAGAGGAGATGAGTAGAAAGGGAATAAAGATGAACATCCAGAATTGTGTCTGGCTGTCATGTTCCCAGTGCACATCCCTGCACAGCAGCATATTATAAATAAGAATTACACCTCATCTCTCAGGAAAACAAGACTATAAAGGAGACACTTTCAAATACAACAGTGAAATGAATTCAGTTCTCAAGCTTGCAGCAAGGTAATTTCACTGGGCAAGCAGTTACAGCAAGCTTGCTTACTCACAGGAAGATCACCGAGCCAAAGATCTCATTGTTTCAGAGCCATGCTGCTGAGTGAGACACTTGGCTCTCAGTGCTGTTTTATTCCTGAAGCTTAACAGATCTATTTATTATTCCCAAAGCTTAAAAAAACAACAGTAAGCCAAACACTGTCACTCAGGGGCTTCATAGGCCCCATCTGTTTTAGATGTGTTACCTAAACATGAATGTAATGGTTTAAACATAAACAAACCCCCAAATCTTGTAATTAATGGCACTAATATATGCTATTTCCAAATTGTGGTTATATTTTTGAATCATTTCGCTACTGACAGCATAGTATGCTAGGTGTTATTTCAAAACAGAAGCTCCAAGACGCAGTTTCATTTCATCATCATGCCCGTTCACCCAGCACGTGGCAGTTTTGCTTCTCATTCAGAAGAGGAAAAGAACAACAGAACAAGCGAGACGGCCCCTGAATGAAGGGAATCAGGAGAGAGCAACAAGTGCCTGCTTTCAGTAAAATGTACGCTGCTTACATCAATGCACAGATCAACTCGTGCCAGTCTCCACAGGGAGCACGTGTCAATTCATCCACAAATACCCACTGAAGGCTTCGTGGAAGAAAGAAAAACAGAAATGCCTATAAAAATACGCCAGTTTTAAGAGCCAAGAAGTTTCGCTTTCTGATCCATAAGAGATCTTACAAAATAACATAAAATTACCACTTTCAGCAGACTTAAGCCAAAACTACACCAGTATTATTTGGGTACATACCTTCCTTCCCGTCTGTAGTAACCCTAGCAAATGAAAAACCGCTTGTGGATGCAGCGAGGCAACAACTGCCGTTCCTTGCAAAGCGAATCCAAGCCTCCAACCTGGAAAGGCAGAAGCAATAGTCAGGCAGAGCCCGCGGAGTCCTCCGCCCGGCAGCCCCGGCTGCTGATTTTCCGCTCCCTGCTGATGCGCTGTCCGAACGCCGGGGAGATGGACCGAGGGGCAGGGAGCTCCCTGCGGCGGCCCGGAAAGGCGGGCCCGAGCTCGGCCTCCCAAGGTCACCGCGGGACGACACCCACCCCCTTTGAGCGGGAAAGCGCCGGCCTG